ACACGACCACGTTGACGCACCTTCCTCTCCCGTCGCCAACATCTTCAAGTTGTACAATTCGCTACTTGCGCCGCCTATTGAGGTCGAACAAACTAAACGCCGCCTACCCCACACCCACGTGCATCTTCGCGCTGCACCGCGCTCGCGAGAATGCGGGGGCCAAGCTACTCATATGAGGAACTGCAGGCCTTGAGAGAGTCTCCACTAGTCAAGAAGCCCGATGGCCTGCCTTCTATCTCGCAATGGATGGACGTGCCCGCCGAGCAAAACACCAACAATGGCCACGCCAACAACAATGGCACTTTGCGTCGTGCCCGGGGTGCGCGAGACGCTGAAGGAACGACGGCAACCGAGCAGCGACCGCTGATCAACCCCATGGGCCAATTTGGACGGCGTCAGAGCATGCGTAAGTTGTCTGAAGCTCAGGGCATCAAGGCCGCTATTAACGCGCTTTTTGTAGAACCTGGCGAGGAGACTGTGCTCGGTCCGCCAAAGCTAGCCTTTCTCTCAGCGCGTACCCCGGCCAAAGCAACAGGCGACGCAAAGGAGCGCACCGGGTTTACCTCTACAGACGGAGACAGTGTTGGAGACCGCTTCCCCAAGAACGATCGATGGACCCGGGACCCGCAGCCTGACCGAAACCGAGACAAGGGCTACGCCAATGGCCGCCGTGTCCCCCGCGAGGACGGCGAGGGCTGGACAAACGTCAAGGGTCGCAAGAGCTTGGGTCAAGAGGACTTTGAGCGCTTTGGTCGTAATGGTGATCGCAACCGCGACAAACACGAGGGCGATGCAGAGGCAGATGCACCCCCGCGCCGTAACAACCGGGAGCGAAACGAGCCGCGCTGGGGCCGACGTGACGAGGCCAAAGAAGAGGCACCCAAGACGAGTGTTCAGAGTAGCTGGCGTGAGCGTGACCGCGAGCGGGAGCGCGACAATGGCCGCGAATGGACCCGGGGCGGAACCCGTGGTGAGGAAGACCCGGAGTGGATGGATGCCAAGGTGGAAAAGAAGGAGATCAAGCCTCGCACACAGGAAGACTTTCAGCGCTGGAAAGAGCAGATGAGGGCCAAGGATGCACCGACTGGCGAGAACAATGAGCAGAGGGACAGTATCGGTGACATGCCCACCGCCGTCGCCGCTGCGCCCATGTTGACCGCACCGCTGCATACCCCTATTGGCGCCGAACCAACACAGGGCATCTTGTTTGGAAATTGGGGCAGAGACAAGGCGGCTGAGCTCCCACCGACAGAGACCATTTCGGCAAAACCAAAGCCAGACAAGAAGTCCAGGTTCATGACCATGTTCGCGAAACCAGACGAGTCACCCGCGCAGGGCCAACACCAGATGCCCGTACCTTCGTCGCCCGCACCTGTCATGGAAGCCAATGCCGACAAGGAGGGCTTTCAACGTATCCTTCAAATGCTCGGTCAAGTCAGCGTAGCCGGTTCTCCAGCCCCTCCACCTCAAACAACTATGCCTCCTCCCATGAACGGCATGAGGCATGGCGGTGGCATTGCATTAGACTACCACCATGACTCCCCGCCGCCAGAGCTACAGCATGGTAGACCACCACCACGAACTCTAGAGCAGCAGAGCATGTTGGACAATATTCTCGGTCCACGTCCTGGTGCACCCGAGTCTCGCCCTTCTCAGCAATCGCGCTTCGCTGCTAGTATGTCACCCGAGAATGCAATGCCAGAGCAATTCAGGATTCCGCGACCCGACTCCAGTCATCCAGAAGACAACTTCCCTCACCAGCCCCCGCCGCGCACCACACAAGCACAGGATGCCAATCTCGCAGCTCTCCTCAACAGTCGCGCACAGGAATCCCAGCGTGACCAAGCCACCAAGCAGCGCGAACGTGACTTCCTATTGAACCTGATGCAACAACCATCTCGCTCTACGCCTCCTCAGGCACAGATCCCCAATCTGCCTCGCCAGTCACAGGAAAACCACAACATGGCCTTCTTCGAACAACAGAGGCAGCCACCTCAACAACACGCTCAGCAACAGCCCAAGAACCGCGGCGCTATTCCCCCAGGCTTCATGGAAGACCCGAGGATGTATACTGAGTCCGAAATGCTACGACGAGAGGCCGTCGAACGCCGCGAGCAAGAGATTCGACAGCTTCAAATGATGCAGCAGCAAGAGACTATGCGCGCAAAGAATAACCCTCGCCTGCCAATGGGATATCCTAACCCCGAGGATCCAATGATGGGTCTTCAGCGCCGCAACACTGGAGGTGATCCTCGCATGCCTACGAACATGGGTATTCCCTCACAACCAGTCCCCGATATGCATTACATGGATAGGCGAGGTCAGCCAGGCATGCCACCAACACCCCAAGAGCGACCCAACATTGCTCCCCCTCCAGGATTCGGTGGTCCCATGCGCCAACCACCCGGTCTTGGTGGCCCCAACCCGCAACAAATGGGACCTGGAGGACCGAGTTTCTCAGGTGGTAACACACCATTGGGCCAGCCTCCTGGTTTCCCGCCTGGTAACATACGCGGTCTGGGTTTCCCTGGAGGACCTGGTGGCAATGGCATGCAGGGTCCGCCAGGCTACTTCCCACCCCCTGGCTACGGTGGTCCTCCCATGCCTGGCATGCGAGGTGTCGAAGACCCTAGGATGATGTTCGAAGGCCAATTTGGCGGACCTCCTCGCCAGCCAGGTCGTCCCGGCCCACCCAACATGTACTAAAGCAGTCGACAGTTTTTACACCGCAAACAAAAAACGTCTCGACAGACCCCACACCATGATCAACTTTTTCCCACCTTGAGAGAGAGAAAAGAATTTCCAGCAACTGTGTTATAAACAATGTGAGTTTGGGCTTTTTTTCCAACAAAGCGTGTAGCGTCGGCGTCGTCGGGAATTCACACATTCAAATATGCTGTATATTGGCGGGTTCGGATTTTTTCTCGCCCTCCCCCCTCTTTCTTTTCTTCCTTCATTTGCTTTATTTCTTTATCCACACAGCGGGATATCTCCCTTCCTACAAATGGAAGGACTCAATCATTGGAGAAGGGTGGATGGGAATTGGCATATCCGGGGATCTTTTTTTTTCTTCCCTTCTCAGATCGGGGGAGGGTGGATGGCGGCGTGGCGTGGCGTGAAAGTGTTATCGCGAGAAACTGAACTGGGCATCAAGACATGTGCATGTATGAGGACGGAGCTTGTTTGTTTGTTTTCAAGCTGACGATGTCGGATGAGCGTATGTGTTTATCGATGAGATGGCATGAGGGATGCGAGCGAGCAAGAAAGTCAACCTAAGAAAGAATGGACCAAAAGGCCAGCTCTATAGATGTTGCATGAATGTGAATGTCGAGGGTTTGGTGCACAAAAAAAACGACAGGCTTTGGCGATGTGATGTTATGTCATGTGAGGACTTGCATGCTGTGTGGTGCTGCCGTCATGGCTAATATCATTTCTGTAGTACTGTACTGTAAAAAACTAATCTCACATCAAAGTATGCAGGCTCTCCTAATATACTACCTCTTCGACCCCGAGAGTTCTCGCTTACTCTATCTACTCTACTCCCTCCCTCACTCACCTAGCAAAAGAAGTACCATTAAACCACCAGAAAAAATTCAAGGTACACCTACTCACCACCTATACGTCTAACTCTTCATATGCACAAGTCACTTTGATAGATAGATGGATGGATTAAAGCGTTAGAGCTTGAGCGGAAAAAAAAGGAGTTCGGAGACGGTTTATTCAATAATTATCTCATATAATCTGTACAGGAAAGGAGAGGAGAGGAGAGGGAGGGGTGGTTAGAAAGATGTAGCGACGAGACGAAAAGAGGTAGAGGTAGAAGTAGAGAAAGACATGTATACTACACCACCTCCGCCTCCTTGAGAGAAGGAAAGAAGGGAGGGTTATTTTTTGTTGCTCGCTGTAAGTAGGATGTAGGGAGGGTGGTGTGGTGTGGTGTGGTTTCTGCGTCTGGTAGAGAGGTTGATGGGGAGGGGAGGGAGGAGATGATTGGATGGGGTGGATGTGGGGAGCGTGTTGGGTGTTGATGTTTGGATTTGTTTTGATTATGTAGGTAGGTAGATGGGGTAGGGATTAGCCAGTGGCGTAATGTGTCTTAAACTACCCTGTTCTCTTTTATTTTTTGTTGCGGAGGGGAGATACAAATCCTAATCCAAAC